AGACCGATGAAGGTCTGGGTTAGAATGTGCATTTAGTAACCCATGCTTTTCGTAAGAGGCGACTAACGGGATTGGGTGGTCAGGCTTGCTGACTTGGTTGACACATGGCATCGGTTCCCAATTGTGCAGATCGATGCTCATGCTGTCGATCACTGGATTGTCTAGTCCAGACTCGATTATTTACAGACCGCCGCCATATAGCTGGAATATTGCTGAGTACTTCGTAAAACAAAACTCACTCACTCACTCACTCATATATACACATATACCCCTGCACTGTGTGGAGTGAGTGTGAGTGAGGATAGCTTTATGCACATGTCATCATAATATTAGATTGATGCTCATGATGTCAATCACTGGATCGCAATCTAGGATCAATTATTTACAAAATGTTACTATATAGCTGGAAAATTGATGAGAGTGGTGTTAAATGAAAATGAGAGAGTGAGTTTAGTTTTACACCCCTTTTTTGGCAATAATCCAGCAATATCACAGCAGGATACACCTGAAATGGGCTTCACACATTGTTCTTTATGGGGAATTGAACCCAGGTCTTTGGCGTGGTGAGTGAACACTTTAACCACGAGGCTACCCCACTGCCCTTGTATTGTGTAGAGGGGATATTGTACTGAAGAAATAAGCAATTGATAAAGGTTGGTAGAGAAGATGAAGTAATTCTTTTGCTAGGTGTTCAAAAGATCCATATTAGGGCTCAAGATTGGATTATGTGGTACTAGAATTTTGGAAGATTGTAGAAACCTTGGAGATATATGTTTTCGTCACTTCCAATGATACTTGTTGAAGTCTCAACTAATGGAATGCAGATTGGTGGCATTTTAGTCTGTGTGAGTGTTTGGTTTGTTCCCACACCATTATACAATTATAGACTCTTGTAAAGGTCGATATCGGTTTTTATTGACCTGAGAAAAACAATATCAATATTGTTTTTCTCAGGTCAATAAAAACCGATATTGATCTCTACAAGAGTTTATAATTGTTTTATTATATAATGAAAGAGAAACAGGTTTTAACATACACTTTTAATGCACACACTGTGCCATCTATCCGAGTGATCTGATTGGCTGAAAAGCGGGGGAAGCCCCTTCGTACGGGATTCCTTGTCTATTTTTAGTAACCCAAGTCAATATCGTAATTTATCAGAAAACTCAAGTCAATATCATGTTTTGTAGTCAATCATGTGACGGTCTCTTGACCAATCGTGGTACAGGAAAAATACTACCTATATAATAATATGTATTATCACAACTATGATTAGTAATGTCATCACAGTGTACATCTTCCTCGTCAATTGTATCAACTCTCATATCCTTCATTTATATATTTTCTGTAATGTACTCAGTGGGGGGGTGCTCCCTACACCATGCATGTGCACCAAGACACAACGAGGGAGTAGTGTCAACCTTTGTGTTTCATTCAAGATGGCTAACCGATATAGAACAAACTTTATGGATAACAACTTCTTTTATTTGTGAGTGCGAATAATGCACTCAACTTCTAAAATGCCATTCAAAGAAGTCATCTACACCGAAATTACACATCTAGTGCAATAATGAAGAGTGCAGCAATGTCTGTTAAAAATCGTTAGTATTCAAGAATTTGATGACATCTTCCTTGACATCTTCCAGGAATTTCCAAGTATTTGTTTTCAACCAAAGGTCTCTGACACTCCACTCAAAGCTATCATTGGTCAGGTAGGAATTAGCATTCTGTGATAACCTCTGAACGTTCACTTCTTGTAATGTCGTCCAGGACACGTAACGTAATTTGCTGCTACGGGGAGAAATAGGAGGACAAATTTGCACACCATGTCTTCAGTAATCCGACGTAGTAATGAACTTGTCTGGGGAAAAAAAGTAACACTCCTTTGTTTGAAAAGGACATTGAGATTCCTGGTGGCATTTGGCAAGGTAAACCTTTGTTGTAAAAAACATCTGAATTTCATCGGAAGGTGGTGTATTTGATTTGTGATTAGGTGTTTGCTGATTTGGGTATTTGTGATTTCAAGATGGTTTCCTTCGCACTGGGTGGAACATAGTGCTTAGTTTTCATGGATGTTTGTTGTACAAGATGAGAAGGACAGTGTATGCAGTCATGTCTATGAAATACATAGTGATGTTTTGTTTTAGGGAAGTTGGTCCCAGCATTCCTTGTTTTTTATACTGATGATGCATAACAGTTCCTTGTTTGATATATCTTAGCTAAATCGTGTTTTACCTCATTATATCAATGCGTTGCAATATGGAATAAATAGTGAAATTTATATCAATGGATTGCAATATTAACCTGATATGCAAGTTGAACCCAGCATCCCCTGTTGTCTATGAGGTCATGTCTATGGAATAAATAGTAAAATTTGTATCAATGGATTGCAATATTAACCTGATATGCAAGTTGATCCCAGCATCCCCTGTTGTCTATGAGGTCATGTCTATGGAATAAATAGTAAAATTTGTATCAATGGATTGCAATATTAACCTGATATGCAAGTTGATCCCAGCATCCCCTGTTGTCTATGAGGTCATGTCTATGGAATAAATAGTAAAATTTGTATCAATGGATTGCAATATTAACCTGATATGCAAGTTGATCCCAGCAGAACATTTAGCAGACGGGGTGCTGTACTCTGGAATGGATTACCTGAAAATATCAGAAAATCGGAAAATATCTACAGTTTCTGATGTTGTCTCAAAACCATCCTCTTCAAACGAGCATTCGACTAGGCACACATGAGCAGAACTCTGGATATGTAGCATCAATGTGATGTAATGTGATGTCTATGGAATAAATAGAGAAATTTGTATCAATGGATTGCAATATTAACCTGACATGCATGTTAGTTTCAGCTTCCCTTTTTTGAGAAAATTCAGAATTGGATCTGGTTGTAAGACTGACGGAGTAAGCGGAGTTTGGTTTTACGCCGCTTTTAGCAATATTCTAGCAACATCACGGCGGGGGACACCAGAAATGGGCTTCACACATTGTGCCCATGTTGGGATTCGAACCCGGGTCTTTGGCGTGACGAGCCAACGCTTTAACCATTAGGCTACGCCACGGCCCCCTGGTTGTAAGAACATTGGAAGGCATATGATAGGATGTGTGAACGACTGGTTTAACAATAAGACCTCCATAAATATCAATGGTCAAGAATTTGTTTCAGTTAAAATTACACATTCCTTGGATGCAGTATGCATTTTGTATACCCCATTCTATACATGAGTGCTTCCTGGATGCATATTTCTGTGTCATTTAAAAGCATGCATTTTACTGGGAAGATGCCATTGGCCTTCATCAGAAAGAACCACATTCCAAGGACTCGCAAATAGAGAGCAAAAATACCAGAAAACAATCCTAGGAATTCTTTCATCTTGTCACAATTCAGTTGGTTCAGGTGGCAAACTCTGAACACTTTGTCCAAGATTTGTCGACTTAGTCTCACATACTGTGACCAGGTTCAAGCCCGAGATTACATCTACCTGGTCACAAGCCCAACATTCAGCACCTCTGTGAGGCAGCTTGCCACCAATGTGTGGATGACCCTCACAGATTTGGCTGACCTACAGTGAGAAGACCTTGAAACAAGTGGATGCTGTGGCCATTTTGTGGTCATCTGTCTCTGCAGTCATGTGCTCCAGTATATTCCCATGACTGCCAGTTTATTCCCATGATTGCCTGTAGATTCCCATGATTGCCAGTATATTCCCATGATTGCCAGTATATTCCATTCCCATGATTGCCAATATATTCCCATGATTGCCAATATATTCCCATGATTGCCAGTATATTTCCGTGATTGCCAGTATATTCCCATGATTGCGAGTATATTCCCGTGATTGCCAGTATATTCCCATGATTGCCAGTATATTCCCCCAATTGCCAGTATATTCCCCCAATTGCCAGTATATTCCCATGATTGCCAGTATATTCCCGTATATTCCCATGATTGCCAGTATATTCCCATGATTGCCAGTATATTCCCCCAATTGCCAGTATATTCCAGTATATTCCCCCAATTGCCAGTATATTCCCATGATTGCCAGTATATTCCCGTATATTCCCATGATTGCCAGTATATTCCCGTGATTGCCAGTATATTCCCGTGATTGCCAGTATATTCCAGTATATTCCCGTGATTGCCAGTATATTCCTGTGATTGCCAGTATATTCCCATGATTGCCAGTATATTCCCATGATTTCCTGTATCATTATCGTCATTGTCGTCGTCGTCATCGTCATCATCATCATCACGGGAAAGGGTGGTCGGGCTTGCTGACTTGGTTGACATATGTCACTGGTTCCCAACTGCGCAGATCGATGCTCATGCTGTTGATCACTGGATTGTCTGGTCCAGACTCGATTATTTACAGACCGCCGCCATATAGCTGGAATATTGCTGAGTGCGGCATAAAACTCACTCACTATTTGTGGAGAAATACAGTAGTTGTTAAAGCAAACACAGATAAACCATGTATTTTGGTTTGGTGGAATGGCAGTGTTTTTCATCTGGGATATAATGAACAGTTCATCCTGCAGTGAAAACTAAATTATTTAAAGATGAGTTACATTCTGAGAGCAAGGATGCTACAGTTCAAACAAGTTCCAGACCCATCAAACAGACCTGAAATAGAAAATCAATATTTCTACTGTAAAATGTTCTTAGCAGCTGTAAACCATTTTTGAACATGTTGAAGCAGAATATTTTCCGTAGCTGTCAGACATTTCTTGACCTATCAAACATAATTTAGAACAATCAAACATTCATTCATTCATTCATTCATTCATTCATTCATTCATTCATTTTGGTGGGATGGGGTAGCCTAGTGGTTAAGGTGTTCGCTCATTATCCCGAAGACCCAGGTTCGATTCCCAACATGAGCACAATGTGTGAAGTCCATTTCTGGTGCCCCCCACAGTGATATTGCTTGAATATTGCTAAAAGCGGCGTGAAATAAAATCACTCACTCATTCATTTTATTTTACAGAAGGAACTTGAACAAGCGGAGAGGATGCGAGCTCATGGGGAACAGCTGATCCTTGACGACCACTATGCAGTGGACAGCATTCGTCCGAAGTGCATCGAACTGCAGCGAATGTGTCAACAATACAAGGACCTGCTACGTCGCAGGCAAGAAATACTCAGCAAGTCACATGACCTGCAAGACAGGCTTGATAAGGTAGGTTAACCAACATTAAGATGTGTTGTTTAATGCTGCAATATTGAAATCGGTGAAAATTCAAGCCTATTCCAGACAAACCAGTGGTCAATATAATGAACAACTGCCAATGACATCAGGTTAAGATGACACACAATCAGCTGGGTCACATAATCCAACCCTCTCTTCCATTCAGTCATTTCCTACTAATGGTGGGATAGCCTAGTGGTTAAAGTGTTTGTTCATCACTCTGAAGACCCAGGTTTGATTCCCCACATGGGTACTATGTGTGAAGCCCATTTCTGGTGTCCCCTGCTGTGATATTGCTGCAATATTGTTAAAAGCGGTGTAAACTAAACTCATTCACTCACTCACTCCTACTACCAACAAAGATTTCTGGAACCAACTTGTCATGCCCACAGGTGTATTCTTGTGGAGTCTTGAATATCTGGGAATGTGTTTCAAAGTTCAGGGTCCACTTACACAAATTGATCTTAGGTCTGTGATGATCATAACTCTCATACTCTAACATCGACTTAAGATAGTCGTAGCCCTAGAATTGGTTTGTTTAGGTGGGCTTTAGTCATCTTTTGGATGATTTTGTCAGTAGTGATCTGTGACTGGTTCAAGACATTTCCTGACCTGAAGTTAAACTGATTCTGGTGATGATGCATCGATGGTTAATACGCGAACAATATTGTTCCTGATGATAAATGAACTTGTGGATCAAGAAGGTTGCTAGTTGGATGTAACGGTGTGATTGAAGATCAAAGGGAGATAACTCTAAATCAAACTCCACTCTGGTCAACTGACACCCATCCATAAGGTCCAAACCTCATGAAGTCATTTAATTCCAGTGTGCATCAGTCTAATTTAGTAATAAACTGTTGGTATTAAAAATGACATATTTTTATTCTAGGCCAATAGATGGTGCACAAAAGGTGTGGATCTTCTGGCCAGCCAGCCAATCGATCGCTGCCAAAACCAACAAGGGGCGGAGCAAGCGTTGCAGGATGTGGAATCATTTCTGGCAACATCGAGGGAGTTGAAGCTGAACAATCCGCGAGAGTTTCGGCAGCTCTTCGAAAGCATGATGACACCAGAAACTCGGGTAAGCAATCCAACCATTCATGAAACTAGAAACAGTTATAGGTGTATGCAACACCTTCGTAGACTAGATAGATCCTTGTTGTATATCAGAATACATGTCCGTAACATGTGAAATTAATTACTTCGTTGTAGGGATAAACTTGGAACTGTGGTGATTTTGTTATCACACATTCAATATATCTAATTCTTATGATAGAAATTCTAGAATTCCAAGAGCACATTCATTCAACTCAGAAGTTAAGATTTAAAGACAACATAAAAATAGAAACTGTAATGTGAAAAGAGCCCCTTCCATCCTTAAAGGTGATTAGGTTCTGAAGTCAATGTCCATTCTAGGTGCAGTTAGTGGCATGTGTTTATGGTTTCATTTAACTTTGAATTAGTGAAAACTCGAAGTGTAATAACGGCCATGAATCAAAGTTGCGGAGACGGACATTTGCGTGAACCTTAAGATCAGGTCTTATGATGGGCATGATGAAGTTATTCACGTACAGTTATGTTCCTTCCACAAGACGCTCCTACTGATACGGACCTCATGGTTTGTATGGAACATGGTACACACATTTTTCACTGGTTTTCATTCAGTATCGATACAAGGATTAGCTTGCTATGATGCATGGTAGCCACTGTGTGAATCTGACATTTGGACCATTCACAGTCTGGTGCCAAGATGGTTTAAAAGGAATGGGAGTGAATGCTGCGATCTGATTGGTGGAAAAGGGTTGTAAGAAAGGGGTTGGAAGGCATATTCACATTTCCTTCCCGTCACAGCGAATGTTTTTCTTTTCTTAGTTTGGATGTATACATGTTAATGAGCTGAATCGTTGGAAATGCACAAACGATTGGATGATGAAACAGGTATATGCCATGATGCTATGTTTATTAGGAATTTAATGATATATCATAAAAGATTTAGGGTCAGAAATCAGTGCTTCTTGACAGAGGTAATTTCATAGGATCGCGTAGTTTGGCTCGATGACTTTCTGGTCATCATTTTCCAGGAGTTACTTATTATCACTTGACCTGTGAAGATCTGGGTTAGAATTAGTCTTCACTAACCCATGTTTGTCGTAAGAGGCGACTAACGGGATCGGGTAGTCAGGCTCGCTGACTTGATTGACACATGTCAACGTTTTACAATTGCGTAGATCGGTGCTCATGCTGTTGATCACTGTATTGTCTGGTCTAGACTCGATTATTTACGAACCACCGCCATATAGCTGGAATATTGCTGAGTGCGACGTAAAACTAAACTCACTCACTCACTACTATATCATTCTCTGGTTTGTCTGGTCCAGACTCGAACTTTGATGTTCCACCATTATATGGCTAAGAGCACTTCATTAGACAAAAAACTAACAAGCGAGAAAATTACAGGTATAGATTGAACGATGAATCTGGATTATTGGGCCACATGACAAAAGTCTTATAAACATAAGAAATCAATTATTTTGTTTATTAATGTTTCAGTGATTACAAATTTTCATCAGATGTTTTTAAGTGTCTACTGATGATTAAGTAAATGGCTAAATGGATGACTATGTTAATGAGTGTGTGGAAGATTGAGTGACCAATCGCTTACAACCGTTTCTACAGTGCTGCAGATGTTTGGGACAGTACGCACTTTAGCATGTTGCTGTGGCATGCAAACAGGATTTCTGTGATTAGTCAGATATGTTTTGTAAGTTTTTATTTACATAATTTATTAACAGTAATTTGAGATATCAACTTAGTATTAAGGTGTTCGTTTGCATTCAGTAAAATACTGGATAAAATCATTAGATATAACGAGATATGTCAGACTCAGTCATCTGATCTCTTTAAGAGATTGACCCGTGAAAATCCGGGTTAGAAGTGATCTTCAGCAGCCCATGCTTGTCGTACAAGGTGACTGAAGGGAGCGGGTGGTCAGGCTCGCTGACTTGGTTGATACATTTCATCTTATCCCTGTTGTGTAGATCGATGCTCATGCTGTTGATCACTGGATTGTCTGGTCCAGACTTGATTATTTACCACCACCATATAGCTGGAATATTGCTGGAATGTGGTGTTAAACAACAAACCAAACAACCTACCGTGCGAGACTAATTTGGATAAATCTGTACATTTTAATCAGAGTACAACCTTTTTTGTCTCACATATTTTGAATATCAATATTCATATAGCAACTGAAGTTGTCGCGTAAAATATGTCGCAGTTTTTTTAATTTAAGAAAGAAAAATTACAGCAGTTTCAGAAGAAACAAGCCAAGTTAATTTTTTTGTGAAAATGATGAAAACTATGATACGCTGCATACTAATTTGTCTAGTGTGTGAAACCATGACACTTAGAGAATGTGATTAAACATTTACAACTGTGGTATTTATACTTTTAAAAGTTGGAATTTAATTGATGAGATTAATGTGATATTTGGAAACTATTCCGAGTATGTGCTATTTTGTTGATGATATATATGCATGGATGACTTGACAATAACGCAAGGTGAATAATGATTAAATTAACAAATATGTGTGAAATATATTTTTTGTATGGTACAGAATGTGTTTATTAATTTTGTTTTTATTCTGTTGCAAAACGGACAGAAAATGTGTTAATTATTTGCTGGAATATTGACATGAACAACTTTTTCTTAGCTTGGTGATATTTCAATATTATCATACTTACTGTTGCAAAAGGGATCAGTCATGTAACACACTAGTTTCATTAACACCATGTATACGTCTTGTAGTAAGTATAGTGTTAGTTAAAATATGATAAAGATATGTTACAATTATGTTCATTGATGAAATTGTACATATTTTTCACATTACAATGTATTAGCAATTTACTGATCAAGCTTACAAGTAAAAAGTATTTCTATAGCAACAAAATTGAATTTTAATGAAATTTAGATTTATCAATTGTATTAAAATGTGCAGTTGTGTTTTAAGACAATTGTGTATTGTTTGTAGTGAAAATAATGTTTGTTAATTTTGTTGACACTAAAATGTACAATTGTCGATTTCAGGCGGTTGTTCAGCAGGTACTCAAACGAATGGAGGATGTGCAAGGAATGTGTCAGAAGAGGAGAGAATCTCTATGCAAGATGGCCGCCCGACAGTCCAGGCCGATTCAGCCAGTGCATCCCGAGCCTTCTCCGAGCCCTGCTTCAACATCGTCACACCAGGTGTCGCCACTCCGACTTGACACAACCGACTACGACCCCCATCTGAAGCGACGAGTCTCAGGGGACACTCCAAAGAGGAGTCCTTTGTCCCTGGAGAAATCAGCTCGGGTGAGATGAAAGTTGCTGTAGCTGTAGACTAACTGTTACAGATAATGCAGGCTTTAGCTTCAGCTTCAGCATTATTTTGATCACATCACGTTTGAAATGGGATAGAATCAGAGTAAACTACATTTACAGTACTGGGTTGTTCGTGCCTTAAGATAGCAGCCATGAGTTGTCTCCCTTTGTTTTCTCCAATTTGGATGGGTGGGATTTCACTGTAAGCTGTATTGGTGAAACGGTATAAGCTCTTACCGCAGTAGAGTATGTATTGTAGTACAAGGCCTACGGTTCGGTCCATTCCAGAAAATTGACGAAAGCAAAACCTAGATAGATTTCGACAAAATGATTTGATTTCTAGACATTTTAGAAAAGGTTTAAATAGATATTAAAAGGTTAATAAAATGATGCCATGATATACTGAAGTTTTGGATTGCATTATGGTATACTGAACCAAAGGCAAAATACAGCAGTATACCAGTTCCCCCCTAGTAAGCTGTGGAATGTCACTGTGTTTAAATCTGGTATGAGACCAGGGCTTTTAACTTTATATTCAGGATGTGAAGTTATTTTGCTGATTATATCCTCACTGTGTTACCTTTGCTAATGGAGTTAACCTTGTTAGACATTCCAATCACAGCACTATTACAAGTTCAATAAAAGCTGCTGCATAGAATGTTACAACACTCAACATTGCAATAGGCCTTGAGTTGCATTTACATTCTGAAAAGTGTTCACAGCCTAAAGATGTGATGCTTGTGGAAAGCAAGCCATTGTGGTGTAGGGACGACCAAAATAGAAATGGAACCTATGACCAGCTGATCCTGGCATTGGTAAGGGAGGCAACTCTAAAGAGGTGGCTTTAGGCATTGCACAAATCTGGAATTGTGAACACATGTATATAATTTGGAAGCAAATCTAAGATGGCACAGATCCTTGAAATGAATAAAATCGAGATAATGTGGATGTCAAATCTAGGATCAAAGCTCAGCACCAGCTGTTCCTGTCATTCGAACTCTAAAGAGGTGGTGTAGGCATTGCACAATCTGGAAGTGTGATTAAATGTACGTCATTTTGATGCAAAGCTGTGACTGGGACTCATAGCCACTATATCCTGGCATAACTAAGGTAGACATATCTGAAGATGTTGTGTAATCATGGCACAGAACCTGGATGTGTGAACAAATGAGTTTGAGAAATGGACTGGAACTCATGATCCTAACACAACTAAGGGAGGCAATTTAGAAGAGATGGTGTTAGAGTTGGTGTACAGATGTACATGATTCGATGATTTATGAGGATTCAAATAAAGATTTATTTACACTCTTACAGCAGGTGTCTTATAACTTCTGGATGTCTAAATGTTCTGGGAATGCTACAGACAGTCACCATTGACATGAAGGAATGTGTTTAATAAGTTTGACTTAATCAAAAGCCAACAAATTATAATGTCAACTGATACTTTAATATGATATTATTTTGGTTTGAATAAATTGTCAAGAGATCTATGACTTATGATTTTTGTGTGACAAACCTGGAAAAGGGAGAAAACTCCAAAATTGTATTTGTGTTTGGGAATCCAGAGGTGAAATCCTCCCAGTAATTACAGTAGGATAACACCACCTATATAGGAAGTGGGATAACATCAGTTGTTTGTGAAGAGGGATAACACTGGCTTTATCTGAGGTGGGATAACATCAGCTGTTTGTGAAGAGGGATAACACCGGCTATATAGGAAGTGGGATAACAGCAGCTGTTTGTGAAGAGGGATAACACTGGCTTTATCTGAGGTGGGATAACATCAGCTGTTTGTGAAGAGGGATAACACCGGCTATATAGGAAGTGGGATAACAGCAGCTGTTTGTGAAGAGGGATAACACTGGCTTTGTCTGAGGTGGGATAACATCAGCCTATCTAACACCTGTCTTGGAAGAGGGATAACATCAGCTGTTTCTAAATTGGTGAACACCAGCTTATGTTAAGTGGTATAACACTAGTTGCATCTTTAAGATGGATAAACCAGCTTTACCTGAAGTGGGATAACACCAGTTTAACTGAAGAGGGATAACATCAGCTGTATCTGAGGTGGGATAACACCAGTGATATGTAAAGAGGGATAGTACCAATTGTATCTGAAGCGGGATAACATCAGCTGTATCTGAGGTGGGATAACACCAGTGATATGTAAAGAGGGATAGTACCAATTGTATCTGAAGCGGGATAACATCAGCTGTATCTGAGGTGGGATAACACCAGTGATATCTAAAGAGGGATAGTACCAATTGTATCTGAAGCGGGATAACATCAGCTGTATCTGAGGTGGGATAACACCAGTGATATCTAAAGAGGGATAGTACCAATTGTATCTGAAGAGGGATAACATCAGTTCATCGGAAGTAGGATAACGCTACCTGTCTTGGAAGTGGGATAACACCATTGATATCTGAAGAAGGATAACATGAGCATTACCTGAAGTGGGATAACACCAACTATATCCTAAGAAGGATAACATCAACTGTATCTGAAGACGGATTACATTAGCTCATCTGAATTACGATAACGCTACCTGTCTTGGAAGTGGGATAACACCATTGATATCTGAAGAAGGATAACATGAGCATTACCTGAAGTGGGATAACACCAACTATATCCTAAGAGGGATAACATCAACTGTATCTGAAGACGGATAAAGGAGAACACCAGTTGTATCTGAAGAGGAATAACACCAGCTGTATCTGAAGAGGGATAACACCTGCTGTGTCTAAAGAGGAATAACACATGCTGTGTCACAAGATGGATAACACCAGTTGTATCTTAAGAGGGATAACACTAGCTTTACCTGAAGTGGGATAAGACCAGCTGTGTCTGAAGATGGATAACACTAGCTTTACCTGCAGAGAGATAACACTAGCTTTACCTGAAGTGGGATAACATCAGCTGTGTTTGAAGTGGGATAACACTAGCTTTACCTGAAGTGGGATAACATCAGCTGTGTCTGAAGTGGGATAACACTAGCTTTATCTGAAGTGGGATAACACCAGCTGTGACTGAAGAGGGATAACACTAGCTTTATCTGAAGTGGGATAACACCAGCTGTGACTGAAGAGGGATCACACTAGCTTTATCTGAAGTGGGATAACACTAGCTGTGTCTGAAGAGGGATAACACTAGCGTTACCTGAAGTGGGATAACACCAGCTGAAGAGGTATATCTGAAGTGTGAATCTGAAGTGTGGGCTTCCATGTATCTTGTACAGCATCATGTTTATTGATGTATGATTGTTGCTTTGGGTTGGCTACTATGTCAGCTGCAACAACATGTCAACATTTCTATATTATTGATAGATAATTAGTTGTGAATGAGTTAACTCATTGCAATAACATTTTGGTGGTTTTACTAGAATTTCGTTGACAAATCTGTCTATTGTAGAATTGGGTTACAATTCTGTTTCTATTTCAGCATCGTGTTGACAAGAGTGAGATCCAGCACCCAGGGCATCTGAGCTTGTCTGGTGACCGTAGCAACGCCAGCAGTGTGAGCAGCAGCAGCTTGACGGTGTCCGACATGTCGACAACCGACTCGCACAATCAACGGAGTTCCTACTCCTCCATGTCAGTTTCTTCCCTGTCAGAAATAGACACGTTACAGGCCAAACGAAGGTCAGCAATTCCTGGTTACGATCTTTCCATTTTAAAATATTGCATTTCCCTCATTAATCCTAACTATCAGCCCCGAGCAAAGCTATCTTATGATTTATTCCGAAAAAACACCCAACTTATTAAGATTGCAATATGAAATTAAAAAGTTCAAATGAATTAATGCAACGTTACATTGAATTGACTCTTGCGCCCTCTACCGACCGAACTTTCTCTCAAGCGAACCCCACAGAGTTATGTCCCTTGGAACGCTCTTTATGAATATCCTATAATGCAACTTGTGATTGAGGCCATTTCGGCAAACACCAACAACACTGCTTGCGACAATTTCCGATGTACGGAACAATCGTTTACATTCCATATATGGCAAGTGTTATCTGTTTGGAAACTGTTTACCCTTGAAGTTTCAATTATTGATTTCAGGCAAGTCATAAGGGATAATAAATCTTTTATTGCATCAGTAGGAAGCTAAAGTGAGTGCATATGCCTCAATATATATATTATAGACCAAAATATTGTCGAAAAAGCGTGACATTGTGCCTTTAATTTGGGAAGCATTTTAAATGACAGAGTAACTTTTTATAGTCATCTTTATTCGTTGCCAAGGCAACACTGATAGAAATTTGTTTATTATCATTTAACGGCACTTACCTTTTTGTAGTTAACTTTATTTGTTGCCAAGGCAACAAGGTCAAAATACAATTCAGTTCAGACATTATTTCTGTTTTGGAAATTACACTTTTAGTTGTAACCCTTCTTTTCAACCATCAATGATAAGGGTCATGTTAACATGGACTACTTTATTTTGTACAATGAAATTTTAAAATGATGATGATGAGCGCCATACTTTCACATAGATTCATGGATTATTTAAGTGTAAGGGACCGTTCAAAATTTATGGCTAGGGGGTTGATGATGATTTTTAAGAGGGGTCACCCATTTTGTTCTGGGGAGATAGTGGGGGCACCATTTTGTACACATGTACTAGGGGGGTCAGTAATTTTGTACATTAATTATTGTATAAAATTATGCTTAGAAATTATGGGAAAGGGAGGGGGGGTCATTGTTTTTCTACATGACATGCAGGGGGTCACTTATTTTGTACATAAATTTGGGGGGTGGGGGTCATTCACATTGTACATGCTTCTCCATAAAAATCAGCAGCAGCACCCCCAAGCCATCAATTATGAGCGGTCCCTAAATGCATATCTTTCTCAGGATTGTTGTCCAGAATATATTATAAGGCAGGTAACTCTAGCCACACTATGATATCTGAATACTCAGATACATATATTACACACACAAGTTGTAGATGATAGTGATCTGCTTGCTTCAAAGCTACTCTTTTTAACTTACAGGCATGTAATGAATGAACTCATTGAGACAGAAAATACTTACGTTGGAGAGCTTCAAGAAATATTAAAGGTCAGTACTTGAGTTTCATTCACTGTGAAATCCCTTGATAAATGCTGCATTTATTTCCGTACAGTTACCAAATAATAGGGGTCAATGCCTGTACAATTTATGGCAGAGAGTTGTCCCCCCTTTACATGCCAGGATATGCTGTCAGTGGTTCTAATCCCAGATTCAGCATGATATGAGTCTTGTTTTGTAACACTCAGGCTTTGTGTATTGTTAAAACGTAAACTGATTGGTTTAGTTCTGGCAATCAACATTGTCTTATGAACTTCAACAATATGTCTGTTAGTTGTTTTCATCTTCCCTAACTTTAAAAAGTAATTTCTTGAAATATGTTGTTTTTCATTATCTTATTGTTTTTAGGGTTATCATGAAGAAATGGATAGTCGGACAATGCAGCATTTAATACCGGCAGAACTGGTGGGCAATAGACATATTCTGTTTGGAAATCTTGAGCAGATATGCAAGTTTCATCAAGAGTAAGCAAATATTTTCTTATTACTTATTGTTAATTTTAAAACACCAATTCAAGGTATTCCTTTAAAACCTATGCTCATGGTTTTATATTTTCAACCCAAACTGAAGCAGAATGTTGCAAGTGACTTGTCATACAGGCTACTGATGGGATCGGGAGATCAGATTTGCTGATTTGGTTGACATATGTCATCATATAACTTGATGCTCATGATGTCAATCACTGGATTGCCTCATCCAGGCTCATATATTTACTAAATATATAGCTATATAGATGGAACATTTGCTCATTAATAGTAAGAATACTTTTACTTGTATAAACATTTACGTATATTTGAAGTAGGAGGCATGGGTGTCCATGTGATTGTTGCTTGCCTTCAGCATGACAGAAATTACAATTGGAGGTTCAAATCCCGGGTTTAATATGTTTCGGGTTTGTCTGCACCAGACCCGTGCACATGGGTTTGGCCAAGATCTGCATCACTTTAGACTATCCTCCCTCATTCTGTTGCCAGGGTACAACTCAAATTCTGACAATTTTGTTTTTTGTCGTAATTTGACGAGGGGGATGGGGTGATTAAAGCGTTCACTCATCACGCCAAAGACCTGGGTTCAATTCCCCACATTGGTACAATGTGCAAAGCCCATTTCTGGTGTTCCCCGCCATGATATTGCTGAAATATTGCTAAAAGCAGCATAAAACTATACTCACTCACTCACTCCTAATTTGATGCCATCATTTCAGTGCCTTTGTTTCTGTTGCAGACATTTTTTGAAAGAGTTGACAGATTGTCGGGAGGAACCAGCCAAGATGGGAAAGTGTTTTGTAAATAGGGTAAGTTGACATAGATAAACCATGTGTATACCTGAACATTTAGAACCGTAAAAAATTAAATGAACTGTTTGCACCAAGACACTCTTAACTGATCAGCAAAGGTTAAGTGAGTGGGAAATAATGAAATGATGAAAAGAAATGTAGTTACCAAGTTTGTAATTCATATGAGTTATGATAATATTTTCTCGGGCATAGTTTGCACCTTTTGGAAAAAAGAACACACCTGCACTGAGGTGGCTACACATAATACATGCATTAAGTTTTAATTTTTGTGTTTTGGGTATGTTTGATTGAATTTATTTATGCCTGATTTGTTGAGAAACATAAAAATACTGACCACCAGTAATGGGCTTCACTCATTCTACTGATGTGGGAATTTGAACCCAGGTCGAACCGCTTTAACCACTAGGCTACCCCACCACACTGCACACTGCACATCAAGAAAAGATATAATACTATGCCTTGCTTGTTGTTTTCAGAAAGAAGAATTTCAAATGTACAGCATTTACTGTCAGAACAAGCCCAAGTCTGAGAATCTCCGAATCAAGATTGGTGATGGCAACTCGTTCTTTAAGGTGAGCCCCAAACTCAAACTTGAATTTATGAATATTGAAAGAAGCGACTGAAATAGCAATATCGTCTTTACCCACCAAGAGCAGGACGTGTGATGCTGGAGCAGAGTTCATCTGTCTGCTCTCAATAGGGACAGAGTTTCTCAAAACTATTGAAGATTTAAAACTGAAATATTTCACATTGTCGTAACAGGTCACGGTTTAAAATGAGATTATGAATTGGTGTCTTCGATGAAATTCTTTACAGAGTTATGTCCCTTGCTGCATGCTTTCTGTCTTGGTTCAAACTTCGTGAAATGTTTTCTCAGTAGCTGCTGAAGTTACATGAATGAAAGTTTGCATGTTTAACAGTGCATGTGTTTGAAATGTGGAGAGTTACTTCCCTTGCTACATGTATTTGTAATTTTGAGTTTTCACGGTGTTATGAGAGTGTGTTTTTGTTAATTAAGATGTCACATTGATTAACTTTTCATTATTATGGGTCACAAAAGTTTAAAGCTCTTAGTGTGATTTGAACTTGCATCTTGCTTAGGCTATGTAATTCGGCTGTTGAGAGACTGGGCGGAGGAGCTGCACTTAGAGTTACCTACCCCTTTGTTGATGTTCTACTTCTGGAAGGATCGAGAAGCGATTCGATCTTTGCCTTCTGCCATCATTTTTGCTGGATTTCTTCAGAACTGTATAATGGATATACAAGCGGTGATAAATATAGAGTCTGAATGGAGACAAGTTTTGGCAGAAACTGAAGTTTAAAAATTTTGTAATTTGGTGCCACAGTTACCTTTACCTTTTGTGAATATTTTTTTAAAATCTGAAGTTTTTGTCACATGACATAAAGCGCCCTTGTCTCTCCATAATAAACTGTATTTTTCACAGTAAATATTTACTTCCATATTATTCATTACTAAAAACAAACATAATCGGAACATGCCCTGTAAAGGGGGTAATGATAACACTGTTTTCGTGTTAATATAAATTTGTACACAATACTATCAAATTTATTGCTATATAAGTCATCAGTTTGTTTGGTGACTGTAGGTGGTGTGATAGACGTAGGTGGCGTGGTGTCTTACTGTCCCTGAACCACAATTTTCCCTACTGCTAAAGCCCTAAATGAAACAACCCTCGGTTTCCTCATGTTCAGGCTGAATTTCCCACCTCACTGGGTTCCTTTTCAATTTAAATGTGGTTATTTGTTAATATGAAAATTACATATATTCAGCATTAGTCTCATGGTGTGATGAAACATGACCCCATTACTGGGTACCATTTAGGAGTCCATAGCAACTGACTGAACATGTCAGTTGCAGCAATACTCTCCCCAGGGAGTTGAGGAAGGACTTTTGACTACTGTAAACGTTGTTTTAGTGTATGATCTTGCTTATGTCACAACAAAGATCACATGATGTACATGTTAACTCTGAATATTGATTATATTTTCTAACAGTTTAATGAGCATGTTGTTTTCTACGACAGGAATGTCAGAGGCGCCTTGGTCACAAGCTTCCATTAGGGGCCTACCTTTTGAAACCAATACAGAGAATTACTAAATATCAACTGCTCATCAAGGTAAGTTCAGTTTGTCCTCTTGTTATTAGAACATATTTAGCCATTGAACCCATGAACATCCAGTGTTAGTCACCAATGCTTGACACGACTGGGTGATCAGACTGCCGCCTTAGCTGATCACATGATCATATCCCAGTCTCGTAGATCGATGCTCATCACATTAATCACTGGATTGTTAATCCAGGTTGATTGTTTACAGACTGCTGTCATATAGCGGGAATATTTGCTGAGTGCAACGTTAAATGCCAAACATGTAGTGGTTGACTAAAATGTGTATGTATTTCTTTGGAAGTTTGAAGCTCCCAGACCATCGTTGAATCCAAGCCTAAATATAGTAACCATACGTCACTAACATCACAGCCACACAACAGTGGTCCTGGTTGTCGCAAGAGGCTACTAAAAGGATTTGAGGGTTATGGTTGTCACAAGAGGCTGCTAAAAGGATTGGGTGGTCATGGTTGTCACAAGAGGCTACTAAAAGGATTGGAGGGTCATGGTTGTCACAAGAGGCTTCTAAAAGGATTGGGTGGTCATGGTTGTCGCAAGAGGCTACTAAAAGGATTGGAGGGTTCTGGTTGTCACAAGAGGCTACTAAAAGGATTGGAGGGTTATGGTTGTCACAAGAGGCTACTAAAAGGATTGGAGGGTTCTGGTTGTCACAAGAGGCTACTAAAAGGATTGGGTGGTCATGGTTGTCACAAGAGGCTACTAAAAGGATTGGAGGGTTATGGTTGTCACAAGAGGCTGCTAAAAGGATTGGGTGGTCATTGTTGTGGCAAGAGGCTACTAAAAGGATTGGAGGGTCATGGTTGTCACAAGAGGCTGCTAAAAGGATTGGGTGGTCATGGTTGTCACGAGAGGCTACTAAAAGGATTGGAGGGTTCTGGTTGTCACAAGAGGCTGCTAAAAGGATTGGGTGGTCATGGTTGTCACAAGAGGCTACTAAAAGGATTGGAGGGTCATTGTTGTCGCAAGAAGCTACTAAATGGATTGGAGGGTTATGGTTGTCACAAGAGGCTGCTAAAAGGATTGGGTGGTCATGGTTGTCACAAGAGGCTACTAAAAGGATTGGAGGGTTATGGTTGTCACAAGAGGCTGCTAAAAGGATTGGGTGGTCATGGTTGTCACAAGAGGCTACTAAAAGGATTGGAGGGTCATGGTTGTCACAAGAGGCTACTAAAAGGATTGGGTGGTCATGGTTGTCACAAGAGGCTACTAAAAGGATTGGAGAGTCATGGTTGTCGCAAGAGGCTACTAACAGATTCGGTGGTCATGCTTGTTGCAAGAGGATTGGGTGGTCGCTTACTTGGATGGCACATGTCATCTTATCCTAATTGCTCAGATTAATGCTCATGATGTCAATCATTAGACCATCTGGTGCACAGTCAATTATTTACAGACTGATGTCATTTAGTTTGAATATTGCTGAGTGCAGCATTAAACAGTAACCAGACAAACCATAACAGAGGATACAGAGAAGAGGGCTGTCTGTTTCAGGAGATGCTGAGGTTTACAGGGGAGAATCAAGAGTTAGAGTCCCAACTACAGGGCGCCCTGGACACCGTCCTGAGTGTGCTGCGATACCTCAACGACAGCATGCATCAGGTCTCGATCGTCGGCTTCTCGGTAGGACGACTTACTAATATCTCGTAGTTTAGTTGTACATGCAGCTATATTACAAAGCAAGGGATGATGATAATATGTTTTTGGGTATATTATCTACTTACACTTTTCTTTAATTGCCTGTTATGCCAAAGAAACCAAAGAATGTCTTCATTTCTGGAAACTGAAAAAATCCATCTTGGTTAAGTGTTGTTTATTTGCCCAGGACTGTTTGGTCTCAGTGGGAGGCTGAAAAATAATTCTTACCATCATAGATAAAGACTTTTGTGAACTGCTAAATATCCCCCAATGTGTGTCAGGTATTTCATCGTGTCTGAAATCAGAAAGAATTTTGTTGTTGTTGTTGTTGTTCGAGACCATTACTTCTCAAATTGAAAAAACGTATAAATTGAGCATTATTCAAAATATCATAAATGTGTATTCACAATGCATTGATGTTGTATCAGGAAAATCCACTCACTCTCATTTCAACCATTTCAGGAAAATTTATCAGAACAAGGGAGACTAATCATGCATGGCAGTTTTAGTGTATGGACAGAACACAAGAAAGACAAGATCAGAGATTTGCGGTTCAAACCCATGCACAGACATTTGTTTTTGTATGAAAGGGCATTAATATTGTGTAAGAAAAGAGAAGAAAACCACAGCGCAGATGATGCTGTCTACAGCTTCAAGAAAAAATTGAAGGTAATTAAAAACATGATTTTAAAAAGACTTTCCTGTTTCTTTACAATTTACTTCCTGTAAATCTAGGATATTCCCTGAGAACTTACATGATATGAAGGGTGATTTGCTTGGATTTTAATTAACTTTACAAAATGTTTCAGAAAATGTTGTACTATGTTTCAGAAAAGGTTTATCTCAAACCAATGTACAATTGACCGATTTTACAATAATGGAATTTTGCTTTTTTCTATTCATTCTGGAATTGTGTCTTGGAAATTGGTGATTTGTATTCTGTTTTGAATTTTACAAAATATCAATGCCGTAAATATTTCTGTCCATGTAATGACAAAAACAATTTCTACGTAAACCAGAGGACTAATAAAAAAATATTCGGAGAGGGCTTTTCTAATTTGGATAACTTGTGCCAGATCCTTTTCTTGAAAGAATGAAATATGTTTTAATTAATTATTAGGATGTATGAAATGGTCATCACTGAAAAAGTATGATGGAGTTAATATTACTCACCATTTCACCATTATTTCTCTCGCTAGTTGTCACAAGTGGGACTGACAGAGAATATCAAGGGAGACAAAAAGAAGTTTGAACTGTGGCTTCGAGGTCGGGGAGGAGGTCTACATTATCCAGGTCAGTGACATGGATCTCATGCCACACTTTCTGCCAATTATTCATACCCATCTGTGTTGGACAAAATTTCAAAACATTTCAGATGAATAAAATCAAAACATTGACTGTTAAGCAAGGCTGTTTCTAAAAATACTGTATTATTAGCTTTGTTAAAACATTGATTTAATCGATGAAAACTTTGGTGAAACCTCTGGTGAAATAGTATGAAATATACATGATCAGTGGCTGAAGCCAAAATATTTTGCCTTTTTGCAGTCTTCAAAGAGATTCTCCTTGACAAGGATCAGTATTTATTTCAGTCATTACAAAAGAAATCAGATTAATTTTGTTTAGTATTTTGTAGTTGTACTTATATATTTTTGAATTTCATTACAGTTTTGTTGTCATGGAAATACATGTATACCATAATTATAATTCAATTAGACTGAAACTTTGGACGTGTTTTTTTCTCTATGATATGTTTTGAGTGCATGGGTGTTGTCTGTTATCTGTGTGGGACACTTTGCTGTGCAGAATTGTGTCCCTTTGTATAGCAGGTGTAAAAAAGATTTGGTTCCCCCATAGTAAAAGTTCCGCTTGAACTTTTCATTCCAACATTTGTTCCTGTAATAGTGCATGCGGCACAATTATTTCGTTCCGCATACACAGAATATATTCCGGGTAAAGAGGAACTTCCACACACATCATAAAGTGTCTAAAAGAGGGTTTTGTTTGTTGGGGTGGTCTTAAAAGTTGGGGCGTGGGGGGAACGGAAAGGAAAAAAGGATTTTTCCTACGGTATTTGTTCCATATGGAACAAATCATGTGGCTATCAAGAAGCAATTATCATGTGTGAAAGTTCCTTAATTATTTTTATGAAAATACATTGTAGATTCCCCAGAATCCGAACTGATGATTCTAAATGAATCTTGTGTTAAAAGGAGTTCAGTTATTATGTAACCAAGTTACCTTCATTAATCAGGTTACAGTTAACATGTAACCAAGTTACAGTCAGTAAGTAGCCAGGTTACAGTCAACATGTAACCAAGTTACAGTCAGCCAGTAGCCAGGCAATAGTCAATATGTAGTCAAGTTACAGTCAGTAGCCAGGTTACAGTCAATATGCAACCAAGTTACAGTCAGTAGCCAGGCAATAGTCAATATGTAACAAGTTACAGTCAGTAGCCAGGTTACATTCAATATGCAACCAAGTTACAGTCAGTCAGTAGCCAGGTTAAAGTCAATATGTAACCAAGTCACACTCAGTAGCCAGGTTACAGTCAACATATAACCAAGTTACAGTCAGTCAGTAGCCAAGTTACAGTCAGTATGTAACCAAGTTGAAGTAAGTAGACATCCCGGATGTTGACAAGTTGGAAGAGTCCATTTTGCATTCAATAATGACTGGAATAAGTTAGGCCTACGGTATTTGTTCCTGTTCGATGGAATATTTGCTGTGTGTGCGGAATTTTTATTCGTGTCATCCATTCTCTATTTCACAGCATTTATTCCGAACCGGAACATTTAGTACTCGGAACTAAATCATGTTTACACAGGAACCTATGAAGATGGGTTCCGATCCCACTCTGTTTGTTTATGTCAGACTCTTGGGTTTTATCCAAGTTGTTTAAGACTTGTATCGCTTACAGATATGCTCACACATCAAGTGGACAAAATTCGTAACACTGTCTTACTCACTCATTCACTCACTAAGTCACTCACTCAAACCCGCTCAGTCACCCACCAAGTCACTCACTCAAACCCACTCACTGATCAAGTCACTCACTCACCCACTCACTCAATCAAACCGACTCACTCACCCGTTCAAACCCACTCAGTCACCAAGTCACTTACTCACTGAAACCCACTCACTCACTCACCAAGTCACTCATTCACTCACCAAGTCACTTACCCACTCACTCACTCACCCACTCACCACGTCACTTACCCACTCACCAAGTCACTTACCCACTCACTCACTCACCCACTCACCAAGTCACTCACCCACTCACCAAGTCACTTACCCACTCACTCACTCACCCACTCACCAAGTCACTCTCTCACACTCACTCACCAAGTCACTCACCCACTCACTCACTCACTGACCAAGTCACTCACTCACTCACTGACCAAGTCACTCACTCACTCAACTGCTATATGTTGTTTGTGTTTGCAGGCTCCAACAATGGAGGTGAAGGACACATGGATCAAGGAAGTAAAGAAAGTCTTGCTGAATCAGTTTGATCAGATTAAAAGTAAGTTCAGCAAATAAAACATTTTATAATCAGAAGAAATGACCATCAGAAGACAACTCCATTGAAAGATACCGACTCTATCATATGAATGTGTTATGAATATAGATAATGACAGGGCTGACTATTGTGTCATATGTGTTTATGCAAGACTGTCAAATAGTGACAGATGTTTGAATTTCAACTGTCGGTACTGTTTGTTCCGAGAATAATTCTTTAATACCAAAAGCATTCTGATTATGAACCTACGGTTATCTAACCCTATGTCAGTCTCCACCAATGTGATGAATGTCAAAATATAGTGAATTGGAAGTTAAAATGCTGTGATGTACAACTAGAAAACTGTTTCAAGCCCATCTTGTTAACTCTTTGATAAATATTCTGTATATTTCCAGCACATCATTCTCACAATCAGAAATCTCAGGAAGATCTGTCAAGTCACCGGCGACATCCTTCAGACACTCCGCACAGGTACACAAGTGAATCCTCCCCATATATACTTCCATGGTAGATAAAGACAAACCATGCAAGGAGTATGAAATAAAACCTTTTTCCTCCATGCAAGAAAGTACTGAACATAATTTCTGTATCTATATATCTTTCATTTGAAACTGGGGTTGGGTGTAGTGTACTGGTTAAAGCATCTGTTTGACCCTGTTTTCTATTCCACAAATAGTTAAAATGTCTGAAGCCCATTTCTGCTGTCATTCATTGGGATGTTGCAAGAGTATTGTCAAACAGACATAAAACTTTACTCACTCTTTTGTTCCTCAGGGTGAGGTTGGGTTAAAACATTAGTTAATCATAACAACGACCTTGGTTTGATTCCCTACATGGGTACAATATGTGAGGCCCATTGCTGTGGTCCCGCCAGTCATATTGCTGGAATATTGCTAAGGGTGTCATAAAACTTAACTCACTCACTCATTCTTCAGAGTGTATGACATGGTGAACAGGAATGGTAATCATATTTTGTATGAATTGTTTTAGTCTAGACAACTGGAAATCTCAACAATCATTCAACAACAACCCTACAGTACCGATTGGCCTTGGGATGGTGTCTCCAACAGAATCCCCGACAAGTCCCCCTGACTACGTGGAGGACGATGGCGGCTGGTCCAGCGGGGAGTTTTCCAACACAGATGATGATGAATACATTCCCAAAATTGAGGTAGGTTGTTTTAAAGTGTAACCATGGCGATTCCAGAGTAGTGTTGGTCCCAAACATCCCGTGCTGATCGTTAGTCGTAATTCAATGGAGCTGGGTGCCAACATACAAGACAACCTCTTGTTCTTACGATTTTCGGGAAAGAGACAGTTTACTTGACATCAATGTTAAAGTTTGAGAAACGATGAAACGTAGTGTTGTGTAATAGTCGATACACAACGTTTTGAAAATGTATATATGTATGTGCTGTAACGCGAAATAATGTCATAAAATGACGTAATACTAATGTTGTGTCATGACGTTACCAATCTACAAAGGGTGGTCAGACTCGCTGACTTGGTTGACATATCTCATCATATCCTAATTGAATAGATCGATGCTCATGCTGTTTATCACTGGATTGTCTGGTCCAGACTGGATTATTTATAGTCCACGCCATATAGCCGCGAATATTGCTGAGTGCGGCGTTAAACAGACAAACAAAACAGATCAGTTTAGCGCTAAGATCATCTTATGGAACAAGACCCTGTCTCCTTTGTCCTGATAGACAGTAAATAGTCAAAGTGTAATTGTACTTTGTTCACAGCCGTCTTACCGTGAGCACTTTGTTTCACTGGGGGATTACTTCCCGGTGGACCAGAACGAGCTGGGTCTACACGAGGGTGATCTAGTGGAGGTCCTGAGGGTGGGGACCAACGGATGGTGGTACGCCAAGCACCTGACGTCGTACCTGGAGGGGTGGGTCCCATCAACATACCTGGAGTCAACGCGACGTACGCTGCCTTCAGATTCAAGCACAGGTTAGTATGAATGTTAATTCTGACAGTCAGCAACATGTCAATGAAGTGCTTCAAGTAATGCAATCTGCATATAGAAGGGTATTTATGAATGATCAATCATGTCAACAGCATTGCAAACATGGTGGTTTTCAGAATACTTGAAGTGATTCTTAGAGTCGTAAACCTCTTCTCAACAAACCAGTCTCTGGTGGTTGTTCGAGTACTTGAAGTGATTTTTAGAGTCGTAAAACAAATTCTCATCAAACCAGTGTCTGGATGTTGTCAGAATACTTGAAGTGATTCTGAGGATTGTAAATCATATTCTCATCGATCCAATCTGTGGTGGTTGTCAGAATACTTGAAGTGATTCTTAGGGTCGTAAAACATATTCTCATCAAACCACTGTCTAGAGGTTGTCAGAATACTTGAAGTGATTCTGAGGGTTGTAAATCATATTCTAATCTATCCAATCTGTGGTGGTTGTCAGAGTACTTGAAGTGATTCTTAGGGTCGTAAAACATATTCTCATCAAACCAATCTGTGGTGGTTGTAGGAATACTTGAAGTGATTCTTAGGGTCGTAAAACATATTCTCATCAAACCAATCTGTGGTGGTTGTCAGAATACTTGAAGTGATTCTTCGGGTCATAAATCCTAATCTTATCAAACCAATCTGTGGTGGTTGTAGGAATACTTGAAGTGAGTCTTAGGGTCGTAAAACATATTCTCATCAAACCAGTCTGTGTTGGTTGTAGGAATACTTGAAGTGATTCTTCGGGTCCTAAATCCTAATCTTATCAAACCAATCTGTGGTGGTTGTAGGAATACTTGAAGTGAGTCTTAGGGTCGTAAAACATATTCTCAACAAACCAATCTGTGGTGGTTGTAGGAATACTTGAAGTGATTCTTAGGGTCGTAAATCATATTCTCAACAAACCAATCTGTGGTGGTTGTAGGAATACATGAAGTGATTCTTAGGGTCGTAAAACATATTCTCAACAAACCAATCTGTGGTGGTTGTAGGAATACTTGAAGTAATTCTTAGGGTCGTAAATCATATTCTCATCAAACCAATCTGTGGTGGTTGTAGGAATGCTTGAAGTAATTCTTCGGGTCGTAAAACATATTCTCATCAAACCAATCTGTGGTGGTTGTAGGAATACTTGAAGTGATTCTTAGGGTCGTAAAACATATTCTCATCAAACCAATCTGTGGTGGTTGTAGGAATACTTGAAGTGATTCTTAGGGTCATAAATCATAATCTCAACAAACCAATCTGTGGTCGTTGGAGGAATACTTGAAGTGATTCTTCGGGTCGTAAAACATATTCTCATCAAACAAGTGTCTGGTGGTTGTCAGAATACTTGAAGTGATTCTTAGGGTCGTAAAACATATTCTCATCAAACCAATCTGTGGTGGTTGTAGGAATACTTGAAGTAATTCTTAGGGTCGTGAAACATATTCTCAACAAACTAATCTTTGGTGGTTGTAGGAGTACTTGAAGTGATTCTTCGGGTCGTAAAACATATTCTCATCAAACCAATCTGTGGTGGTTGTAGGAATACTTGAAGTGAGTCTTAGGGTCGTAAAACATATTCTCAACAAACCAATCTGTGGTGGATGTAGGAATACTTGAAGTAATTCTTAGGGTCGTAAAACATATTCTCATCAAACCAATCTGAGGTGGTTGTAGGAATGCTTGAAGTAATTCTTAGGGTCGTAAAACATATTCTCATCAAACCAATCTGTGGTGGTTGTAGGAATACTTGAAGTAATTCTTAGGGTCGTAAAACATATTCTCATCAAACCAATTTGTGGTGGTTGTAGGAATATTTGAAGTGATTCTTAGGGTCTTAAAACATGTTCTCATCAAACCAATCTGTGGTGTTTGTAGGAATACTTGAAGTAATTCTTAGGGTCGTAAAACATATTCTCATCAAACCAATCTGTGGTGGTTGTAGGAATACTTGAAGTAATTCTTAGGGTCTTAAAACATATTCTCATCAAACCAATCTGTGGTGGTTGTAGGAATACTTGAAGTGATTCTTAGGGTTGTAAAACATATTCTCATCAAACCAATCTGTGGTGGTTGTAGGAATACTTGAAGTGATTCTTAGGGTCATAAATCATAATCTCAACAAACCAATCTGTGGTCGTTGTAGGAATACTTGAAGTGATTCTTCGGGTCGTAAAACATATTCTCATCAAACCAGTGTCTGGTGGTTGTCAGAATACTTGAAGTGATTCTTAGGGTCGTAAAACATATTCTCATCAAACCAGTGTCTGGTGGTTGTCAGAATACTTGAAGTGATTCTTAGGGTCATAAAACATATTCTCATCAAACCAGTGTCTGGTGGTTGTAGGAATACTTGAAGTGATTCTTAGGGTCATAAAACATATTCTCATCAAACCTAATCTGTGGTGGTTGTAGGAATACTTGAAGTGATTCTTAGGGTCGTAAAACATATTCTCATCAAACCAATCTGTGGTGGTTGTAGAAATACTTAAAGTGAGTCTTAGGGTCGTAAAACATATTCTCAACAAACCAATCTGTGGTGGATGTAGGAATACTTGAAGTAATTCTTAGGGTCGTAAAACATATTCTCATCAAACCAATCTGTGGTGGTTGTAGGAATGCTTGAAGTAATTCTTAGGGTCGTAAAACATATTCTCATCAAACCAATCTGTGGTGGTTGTCAGAGTACTTGAAGTAATTCTTCGGGTCGTAAAACATATTCTCATCAAACCAATCTGTGGTGGTTGTAGGAATACTTGAAGTGATTCTTAGGGTCTTAAATCATAATCTCATCAAACCAATCTGTGGTCGTTGTAGGAATACTTGAAGTGATTCTTCGGGTCGTAAAACATATTCTCATCAAACCAGTGTCTGGTGGTTGTCAGAATACTTGAAGTGATTCTTAGGGTCGTAAATCATATTCTCATCAAACCAGTGTCTGGAGGTTGTAGGACTACTCTCTGTAATTGTTGGGGTCATGAAGAGTGTGTCGTATGCATCTGCTATAATTCTTTCTTGTAGTAATAATAGTAATAATAATAATTCACTGGTGCATATGCAGGAGCCTATGGAGTGAGAGGGGATAATGTCAAACAGTTCTGGGCCCTGTTCCTCAAAGCGATCGTAGCGCTACGACAGTCGTAAGTCTATGTTAAAGTATGGGAGTTACGACTGTCGTAGCGCTACGATCGCTTTGAGGAACGGGACCCAGAACTTTAAGAGTGGATACACAAATGGTGGCTTTGAGTTCTTTGGGTAAATTGTTCCATAATTGAGTCTCTGACACCTATTTTGCTTGTGGATACTGGTTGGGACAAGAGGAACTGATCGGAGGAGGTCTTGATGGCCTGTAGACACTGATGAGTTTTGTAAGTTAGAGAGTGCTGTTTCCCTGTAGCAGACCCGATGAGTCAGTAACAAAATTTTATAGGAGATTCGCTATTGGACTGGCAAGCAGATAATTAAAATTTAGACTTAAAGTGTGTTTTTAAAATTTAAATTTTGTTTCTAGTTTTTGACTTATTGTATTGCTAGTTTTAGGCTAATAGTTTCTATGCTTCATTCATCTGCTGTCTAACTCTCAAACGGGTCGGTGGGGTAGCCTAGTGGTTAAAGCGTTGGCTCGTCACGCCGAAGACCCGGGTTCGATTCCCCACATGGGCACAATGTGTTAAGCTCATTTCTGGTGTCCCCTGCCGTGATATTGCTGGAATATTGCTAAAAGCGGAGTAAAACTAAACTCAGTCAGTCAGTCAGTCTAACTCTCAAACAATACAAGGGAGATAATGCTTATTTGTCTCATTGCCATGCTGTTAGCTACTACATTTCAAATCACAAAGTTTCTCACTGTGGTCACTGGTTCAAGGTGGTGTAATTTGCTCTACAGAGTTCAGTCCCTTAGTACTACCAGGATCCTCTGATTGCAGGTTCTGTTAGCACCATCTCTTGGTTTCTTCAAAGATGTAAATATCTAATACCTGTGACAACTTTCTTGACAAATTTAACTGAAATTTTGCAAAATCACAACAGCAGCTTTGGAAGTAGCTTAGAAACCAAATCACAAACCAACTCAATGTTATGCCATGATCAGTTGTGACAGACACAACAGTAGTTTGCTCAATATTTAAATTAAGTCTTCAGAGCTACAGATAACATTTTTGGTCATTGAGTTATGTACTGGCTTGTGTTCATCTCAGTATGGTATTCTAATTTTCCTTTGACTAACCAAATAAATCGTACTCGCCTGACTCAAAGTCAATTGGATATTTTGCCATTTTCCATTTATTGCAAAAATATAATAAAGTTTAAATGTTAGTGTTTGTTATTTATATTTGATCCGTAATATGAGAAACGATATGAAAGACTGCAAGTTGCCAAGTTCATGTCCCGAAATAGAACCTCTCAATATACCTCAGTTATTTTATCTATTCACCGGTATGCAAGCTCAGATTTGAAAGTTTTGTGTGTACCCATGTAAGATCACATTTTTTGAGTATTTACAAATATAAAAGCATACTTGTACACAATCGACCTAATAGGAATTGAGTTTTCCCATAAATATTTGGGTAATTTACTCAGATACGCAGCTTATCTGTACCCCTGAGTCTTTGTACAGGTTTTGCTTTTACAGCTGCAGCTTTGTTTATTTATCAAATTGTTTTATCCTTTGTGTTGTGCCTGGCTGATTGAGGTATTGTTTTTATAATATGACTGAGTCTGGAAAATAATCATGGCTACTAGGTGATCAGAAATAGTCCAGGATATTTTAGAACTGATACTATGCAATAAGCTGATGGAAACATGAGGGAATGCTTAAAAGTACAGAGTGTTCCATCATTCCATTCCAGATTTGTTCACCAGTTTTGTATTGCACTGTGGGGAATACGTTGAAAGAACACTATGATAAAGTGGTGTTCTGAAATTGTTTTCTTCAGTAAAAATACTGGAAATTTCAAATCATAAAAAAACACAGTGATCTGGAAAATTACCCATATTCATCTATATGT